AGACCACCGAGTGCCAAGTGGTGTCTGAAAGAATAACCACCGACTGCCCTATGCATTATTCGATGCGCCTCCAGGAACGGCGATCGTATGTTCCTGACGAGATCTTTTGTGCTATGTATAGCAACTTGGTGATGTCGCATCTGAAATCGGCGATAAAAGGGTATTATCGACCGGCACCGCCTTTTGGATTTATAACACAAGTGTATAAGTATCCACACACACAAAATGAGTCAAGGGGAGCTGGGAGCTTGTTTTCGAGTTGAAATCACAAAAGCGGTCTGAACGTGAATACCGGACCCAAGTTGGACTAATGGAACGTATTTTGGTGGTGCTCAGTTTTCAATTCACTAACTCTATCATTTTACTCTCTCCAATAGAAGAGGTTAGGCCCAATTTCACTTCCATTCCGACATGTCTTATCATTGGGTGACGGTAAGGTAGGAAACTGATAATAACTCACTCTGTATAACAACTGTTTTTGGACACCATCTCAAATATAAGATCGTTCGGTATCATTGGTGTGAGTCTTGCATATTTTCACTGACCAAGTAGCCAAACACAGTACTAACATTTCAGTGGCACAACAGTTTTGAAAGAAGTAGATACTGGACGTTTAAAGCTGGCTCTCTCCATGAACCGATCTCTGAATGCACCTCAAACGAAGGATTGCTTAATCAAGGCTGGATTTGTTATTTTCTTTTTCAAGGCTCTATCAAATGTAATCTTAAACTCACAAATTACAACGATCACAACTTGAAAACCCAGAAAACGGTAATTTTCAACAAACCGGTTTCCTCAAACTGTGGCACCATCCAGTTTAACAATTAGTGAAGTCTGTGCAGCCGGTAGTTCAACAAGTGTAAAGACTGCCAGAAAGCACGCACGTGGCGCGAGGAAAACGGAACGATTAGACCAGACGATATCAACAAGGAAGTTATGCATCCCCGATACTCAGTGGTGGGATGTGACCTAAGAGGAACTGCTCCAAAAATGGGTGGATGCGAACGTTAGTCATTGAAGTGCGTGGGCCTGTGTGTACGTATAGACAGGTGTCAGGGTCAGTCAATCATGGACACAGAACGGTAAAACAAGTGAGAACAACGACAGAGGGCAACGTGGGGGAGCAAACAGGCTAATGATGCGTGCGTATGTACAAACGGTGTTGACAGAAATCATAGGCACTGGTCCATGGGAGAATGAATTCAATATAACTGGAGTAATATAAAAATATAAGCAACAGGATAGTGGTAAGAAGTGATTGTAGGTAAATGATCCATTTAAGGCCGAATGGATTCGACGTGTTGTTTATAGTATCATGTTTGAATTAGCCTATTCGGGTTTTTGCAGGCATTAAGCGCTGTTGATGATCTTAGGTATGGGTATCACTCCTTGCGAGATCATTGATTCCCCACTAGTTGAATGCAGCCAAATTCGATGAAAATGTTCTTGATGACCAACAAAGAACACTGAACAGCTGTTTCGTCCAGTTCGGGACTCGTACAAGGCGATGGCCGGCGACCATGTAGCTCATGGGTAAGGGTTTAAAGTATGAACCCCAAGACTCGCGGTTCGAGTCCTGATAGGGACACAAAAATTCGCAGTGCTAATGAGTCCAAAACAGGATGAAACAGCTATCTGGTGCTGCTTGTTGCTTATCACAAACATTTTCATCGCATTTAAGGTAGTTTAATCATCCACCGAATGTGAAGATGAGGCCATCAAGCAGTGGAAAAGCAGACTAACCAATGGAACGCGTTAAAGCCTAATCACATGTTCGATCAAAAAGATGTGACCAGTTAAAAGGATTGTCACATCTTAGGTATCAGGTTATCTGTTTTGATTCAAGAAAAACGTAAATTTCGCTGCGCTAGTTAACTCCCCATTCGGAGGAGAAGATTTGAACGGAAAGTTGATCAGCACAAGTATCACTGAAAGAATGCGTTCATTGCGGAAATAATTTGAAACGGACTGGAAAACCACATACTAACATGGATGTAATATGACAATATCTTGTATTTGGAGCACATTCCGAGCTCAGCTGAGTGTGAACTAGATTCTGATCGATAATGAAAGTTTAGCAAGGTGTTATTGAACTTGAGACAGAATCAGCCTAACATATGCGGTTTGTCCGGGTTCCGAGCAATAGGAGATGCTCTATTATATGCATACACAAACGTCCTCTGCATTAGATTCCCTTTTACGGATTCTCACACGAAAAGCGAATTTTCTCATTTACAAGGTGACCTGAGTAGTTGTTTCGGGGTCACTTATGGAACATGGGGTATAGTCTGACAATTAAACACAGTAGACTAGGAGATACACATGTCCAATCGAAACTAAAGCAACCAGTACCTGTGAAGCACTTGTGGGTTCGTTTAGGCAATAACATATATACTGAAGTAAATTTTTTTCCAAATAATAATAAACAAGCCTTGCCTTATGATCGTGATTTTCCTGAATCGTTTATACTCAGCAGATGGAATGGTTCAGAATGTAGCCGATACTTCCATTTCATCAGTGGTGGTTGACCTAGACCATGATGAGTTAAGGGGTAACTAAAGAGAATGGAACAGTTTTATCAGCAAAAAATTAACAATGATAATATGCAAGATGTAAAGTTTGCGGTTTTCATGTTCAGATAATTTGATCTTGGCACTCAAGACCAGGCATGTTTAACTGTCGCTCATGCAGCCTCAAAACTACGTAGATCGTAGATCGTAGATCTTGTCTACTACAGACAAGATATAAATTATTGTCCATACCTAAAACATTATTAGAGATAATAAATGTAACGAAACCCAATTTGATCATAAAGAAAATATTTTAGTGTATCACAGTCAGCCAGTACTGTATCTATGCTTTATGAGAATCGTTAGCATATGAAATGCTTTGTGATGCATTGAGCCAACACATTTTCGATCCGAACAGCTTTTGGGGTTGGGTGAAATATTTTAATACTTAACGGAGTCTTATAAATACGGAAGGACTAAGTGATAATTAGTGGAACAGAGTTTGATACCTATGCATGTTCACATTCTGTTCGAAAATGGTTGAACAGATTCCGTTTTAGTCAATCAGTTTCATTCTGAAACTCAGATCTTCATCGTCTGCTGGAGTTTTTACGTAGAAGGCAATCATTGGATTAGCCGAGATCGGAAAAAGTGTTCACATGAATGCTGCCCGTTCGGCACAATTAATCAAAACATTTGGTAGACCAAGCACATGCGTTAATGACTGCACCAAGGTCCGCCTCCACATGTTACCGGGAAGGGATCATTCTTTTCTTGTAAAATTTCATTGCTTATTTCTGTTAACCTAGCTGTCGGTGAACGCGGCATCCCATGCAATGATTAGCCTCCGCATACACTGTCCCCATAGACGGCGTCCGGGTTCTTGAAGTACTTAATCAAAACCGATTCATCTAGTGTCCTCTCCTTCTTCCGCATACTTGTATTTATATAATGGATAGTGAAGTCAAACTTTCGATACCCAGTGCTCGAGGAGATTCAGAAAAAGTGAAATGTTTACAAACATGTTGCATCTTAAACGTTTTATTTTGATCGATTTTGGAGGTCAAACGAGATTATCTCTAGTGGCGTAAATATTAAATTTTTGTCCCTCTATCCATTCTCTATATAAATATATATTTACATATATAGAGAGCTGTCTAGGGTTGCGGCTGGTCACCCTTCATTGGACCTCACGATATAATTCCACACGATCAAGCTCCAAGCATGCCAAACAAATCGTAGTATAATAATCTGCATAAAAAAGGAAAACGTTCCACGATTTGAATGTGGGCTGAATACTGCCAGGTTTTCCAGGCCAAGGGAGGTGAATTTTCTTGGAGAATCCACAACCGGAGCCTTTGACTAACCAAAGCGTGACGCGCAAGGCAGCGGGGCGGTGTGCGAAAACTGCAATCCATTAGGAGCCGGTGTCCAGTTCATCGGATCATACGCCCTTTGGACCGGGTCAGACGTCCAAGGTGCCCAATACACCTTGATGCCCAATCGAGTCGGTGAAAACTGTTACCACCGGAAAGGTGTGTGGTTCTTACGCCTCCTCTTGGTGGGTTTGGAATCAGGGTGTTTGGCCAACTCTCCTAGGGTGACTGTCAGTGGTCTACTAACCCGGTTAAAGACACATATGTCGGCTATTTGTCCTCTTACTTTGGTGGGAAAACACTTCCGCCACGGGACGGCAGTGAGTGGGACTTCCTCTGCAGAGGTTATTGAAGACACTTGGTCGTATTGGAGCATTTCGCGAAATGCATTGGAAGGGTGAGCAGCCGCAACCCTAGACACCCATCCTTCACCATGCTGAAGATTTCAAATAAAACGTTGTACGTATTTAATGGAATTAGGTATTCCCGAATGGGTCTAATCATGAAAAGTCACTTGAGTTTACCTTCTATTCAACTTTCCTTCCATTCATAATCATAATATCTGACGGGAATTATTGGCTAACTGGAAAAAATTGTGCTCACTCAACTCGCCTGTTTTAACTTATCAAAATCGTTCAACTAATATTAGCATTTACATGCGATGGAATTGTTTGTAATATCAAGCGTGCCTGGTGCATCTTAACAATAGAATGGGCTAATTCAAGCTTTCCACTCTAAAACTGATATTAGGATTTTTCAAAAATATACCAACACCGTGTAGCTGGAGATTAAGGTTAGAATCAACCAAATTCGATGAATCAAGACGTGTAAATACAATCATCATGCTTTTATCTAGTGCCATACTTTATGCATGAGATTTATATCTCGTAGAGGACGACAGTTCACAGATAGAACAGACCTGTCAAAAGTCAGATCAATACGAGGAAAACTTAAGGATGATCAAATGGTGATTGCATGCTCTAAGCGTTTCGGATAATGTGAGCTGCGAATGCAGATATTTTTGTGTGATCTACAAGGCTGTCATTCAAGCCAGCCAATGTTGATACGTGCATCTTTTTTCTATTTGGATATAAAGGGAATCATTGACTGCATACTAACTCTCCACATGCTCTTCCACAATACGTCTGGCCACTACAAATTCCGCTTGAATTAGACGATATTTCATCATTTCTCGTAGTGTGCGAATGTAGCGCCAACGGATTGTGTAAATCGGGAAAGCTGTCGTATGATCACCACGTGTGGAAAATCGATACGGTTGCAATTGCGGTCGAGCGTAGATTTGTATTCCCGTGTCCGGAACTTTGATTTGCAAAAGGGCAAACGCATACGCTCGACGACCGATTCCAGGACTGTTCTCTTTCAGCATACAATAATGTATATCACCGAGCCATCGATTTCCATTTCCCCTAGGCGTTTCAGATTGTCCTGGTGTACTGGGTTGATGATGTTCGGTCTCCCGTATAACATCCACCGTGCTAGTAGAATTACCACTGGACAACAGATTTGGCATATAATATGGTGGTCCATATGGATGATGACGTATGTTGGATCCATGAAACCATCTTCGTCGACGAACAGCCTGCGGTTGGGGTACTGAATCTGTGGTGACAAAATCGTTGGTACTTGTCGTCACCGGAGCTTGCTCTGTGACAGCGGAATCACTCTCTTCTGGGGTCGTGGTTGTAGTAGTCGTAATAGTAAGTTCTTCCGGTTCTTGGGTATCGTTTCTTTCCCTCTCGACATTCAAGGCGTCTTGAGGTTCCGGTGGAAAATTCATCATAATTTCTGCGGTCCATCGGGATTGATTCACGTGGAAATGATCACTACGATAATGGATGCTATTGTCTGTGGTCGTGACAGCGGCCAATGTCACTGTGATTGTTTGCAACTCGTGTGATTCCAAATGCCGTAGCATGTTTGAGAAACAGTGAAATGTTTCACGCATCGACTGCTCGCGTTTCTTAAACCGAGTCAATAACATATCTAAGTTTTCTGTTAGTGGTCGTTCTTCTAATTGTTTCTTTAAAGAACATTCCGTATAATGCATATCATATTGATCTGCCGTTCCCACCCATTCGCAACCGAGGGCTGACAGTCCGCATGCGACACGACGTTTCGCACAAGCATTGAGTCGATGACTAGCCAGAGATTTATGAAGCATTGATATTCCACAATCCGTACAAAAGTCTGGCAGTTCAGATAACACCTTTTGCGCAATAAGAGCTTTACGACTGTCCGAGTATAGACTGGCACGACAGGTGGGACACTGTGGTCGTTCATCTTGTCTCAGAGTGAGGAAACAATTTTGACAAATCAAATGTCCGTTTGTGCATTCTTTCATCAGTGTATCACTGGTGAAACAGGCACAACAGGAAATCACTTCACGAATCGAGCGTAAAATTCGACCATATTTACTGTTATCATTTAGACTATCTGCATTCCACTGATCAATTCGATCCAGCACATTGGCAACATCACTTTCTGGTTGAGGATTACTATTAGCGAGGGATCCCATTTGGGATGTGGCATTCACTATGGGATTTTCAATCAGTGGACATGAATAATTGCTGGTTTCAGTGATTGTGGTTGCGCATGCCATGTCTATGGGACGTGATGTGCTATCCCCAAGAGAGTCATTAGCGTTTTGATTGGAATTGATCAATCCTCGACCATGCCGCATATAATTTCGCGCTGTGTGAACCGCACGCACTTGATGTTCGTGTAGAAAAGATCGGCGTACTCGTCGCATATGCACTCAAAGAGGACTTGATCCGTGTGATGCCAAATCTCGTGCACAATACGTGCGGTTTGAAGTCGACCACGGTCGATCACGTTTATTGATCAAAACGTGATTGGGTGATCGGCCAATCAGATTGTTGTTTGCATTGCCTAATGTGTCTCAGTAAAAGATGGGTAAAACAATGTATTTTGCTTTTAATTAATGCATTACAAACCCTTCATTATCGTACATTTGCAGTGATTCAGTTTAACCAAAAATCATGGCATTACTACTTTCTGAAAATCAATAATAATCAAATATGGAAGATACATTTCTTTGCTACAGACAGTTATCAAATGCTGTGAGGCACGTAAGATAGTTGACCAGCAAAATTTACTCCGTAAAGCTATTCTTCGAACAAGACTTTATTGCTGATGATTGGAGGTCAGGGAGAACATGATCCACTCCCAACGTACATCTTAATTCTTTATATCTTTCATGTTATCACGCTGCATTTGACCAACCTCGTTTCTCACGTCCAGTATTCAGTTAATCCGAGCAAAATCGTATGGTATTCTACTTTGCTAAACCACAAGTGTGAACGCATATTTTTAAAGGTTGTGGTGGTGGTGCAGTAGTTTAGTCGCTGTCACCGGCGTGCTTTGGACCCTATGGCTCGAGGTTCNTAAGTTCCGGGGTTTAGGTTGCCGATTTCAACCATTGAACAGCAGGTCCTCGTGACCAGGGGTGTACCCCGTCTGCTGTTCATCACACCCAGGTGTGTAATAAAAAAAGCTGCCACAATGCGGGGAATATGGGCCGATGATACAATAGAGAACGGACCGAGGTTTATTTGAGAGGTTTCCCTTCACAATGGGTACCTAGGGCGATTCGTGGACAACATTTTAAAGTGTCATCGATTGCCAAATTAGATCAGTACCGTTAAGAAGAAATCGGTTTACAAATCACTACCTTTCAGGGGTGACAAACGTCGAAACGTTGACACACAAACTCAGTGCAGCTGTGGCAGAACCATTCTACACAGCAAAACATTGCATTGTATTCATCTTCAGACCACATTGGCGCTTTTACCTCAAGGATAAAGTGCATGTTTCTGCAGTCCCCTTCTGTGTGTACTTGTTTACTTATTCCTGTGGAATAAGTTGTATNACAAGCAGACGTTTATCTGAATGAGTCTGCAAGCATCACTTGGACTGGCTGAATAGTGTGGTGATTAAAACCATCAAAAGTTCCATTGTTTCCCACCTAATGTGGCCGAGGAGTTTTGACCTCCTCTACTCAGTTCGCAGCTGTCTATCCAAGGGGCTTAGGTAAGGCTCTCTGACCACAGCAGAAACGATCGGAATACGCCTACATTATCATACATACATCAAAAACAATTTGTAAGAACACCCGGTCTTCCATAGCAAACACACAGGACACAGTCATTTCCCCACCCACCCCTAAGAAGTAGAACCAATGCGTGTGTGATGATCGAAGTGTGAGGAAGATTCCATCATCACCAGTCAACGGAAGGTTAAGAATGATCAGATGTTTTCCCTGAATGTAACACCCTTGTTCACGAATGCGCCAAGCTTAGAATCTCTCGATCTCCTTCGTCGCTACGTGGAAGACATATTACGTCTTACACCTCAAGGTAGAAACACGACAAGATGGCTCCCAATATTCAATGAAGCTCACCAATCGATTCAGTTCACGTTTGAAACGGAAGAAAATGATAAATTTCGCCTCCCTAGAAGTGGCACTCCTCCGAAAACAGGTTGGTTCCTTAGAGCGTCAAATACACAGAAAATTAACTTGGACAGGACAATATACACACTTTTATAGCTTCATCCTACTCAGACAGAAAATAAATCTGATCGAGCGTCTCACATCACAGGCGCGCAAGACTGGCTCTGACATTCATCTACCTTTTCAAGGAGGTGCTATATGACCTCTTGAACAAACATCTGACGTATACAGTGAAGTGGACCTACAACGCAACTCGCTTATCGTGTGTTTGGAGGATCGTCCTACATCCGAACTAGCCACAAAGACAGGCTGTCTACGCTGGTCACTTCTATGATTATCTATACCTTGTTAAGTTTAAGATGTACAAAATTCAATTTAAGATGTCATGTTTTCACCCTGTACTGTGCAAGGTACTATCCACATAGGAACATGACATCTTAAATTGATACTCGGACATCTAAAATTCATATTGTGACATCTTAAATCGAATTTCGGACATCTTAAACCGAAAAAGATATAGTCTTGGTAATGCAACGTACATTGACCGAACGGCGAGGTAAGTATCCCAACAGATATAGGAACACCGCCCAAGTTGGTTAGAACAAAGAGTGTCAGTGAGTATAGGAAGCACTATTCTTGGTCATCTAGTTGATGCAGACCATCAAATTGGACCAGAATCTGTGTTCCACCTAATCTATCGCGTTCCTCTCACCCCCTCTAAAGCAGTGCGCTTAAACACACTAGCCACCGCTGAGGCGATTGACATATCCCTTTTTGCACAAAAGAGGCTAGTTCAAGCTCTCCACTTACTCTGACCCCAATTTAATTATTTTCACCACCACCACCACTCAGACCAAAATCAATATCCTCGAAACACCGACACATAAGGCTTACTCCACCCCTCACCTCTCCCTATCCCGAATGACCTTTCTACCCAGCGTGAAAATGTGTCCCTACTGACAACAAACTCCTATGTACAGGCACGATTATGGATCATGTGAGTAATGAAGGACTTGATTAGATTTCGAAGTAGAATTCGTCGTATATGTAGCAAATGAAACGTGAAATGAAAAGCTCAGAATCACTGTACCCGTTGCTTCAGTTTCAATTAACCCTGTACAGCTGTTTCATCCTGGTTGGGTCTAATCAGCATTGCGAAACTATATACCCAACTGGGGATGGATTATGGATCAGAGGAAACAAATATTGTCCACCTTCTGACATGTGTTCTGACAGATCTCGCCTCATTTTGTCAAGTTTCCCCTTACTATATTTTTGAACGAAATGGTGGTGTATTAGACTGTTGATGAACCACCCCAAATGAGCTTGTTCGCTACTGTGTATTCTGCTTTGTCAGTTCACAAGCGAATGCACACTCTAATGGGAAGATTATTTCTGGTTGATGAGTTTCGATAATCCATGCATATTTACTTGGTCCATTACGTAACCGATCATGGCAGATCATGAACCACTTTGACTCCACAAACTGGAACTATTCAAATAGCTGAGTGAACCTATTCTCTAGAGAATTATTCCCTGATATTCTTCTCCTTTTCAAAGATGCAACGACTTTCACAAATTGTTTATGCTTCATTTGAGTATTTGTTACTGGTTTTGTACTTCCAGATCACCCGATCCAGGCATCATGGTAGATCATTGGAAAATATGATTTGAGTTTCTTTTTGGAACAAATTTTTTCACCGGATTTGTCAATACCATGATGCTATTAGTAGAGCTGATCATACGCCGACGTTTACGTTACTCTGGTTTTCGGCTCTAAAAAGAAATTTTCAATCTTGGCGCGGGCTCTTCTCACACTGATACATTCAGTCAAACAAACAAAACAAGGAAGCTGAGCGAGTGCAGAGTTGCTAAGGTGCAGTTAAGACGTACGTGCCCTGACCGACAGAGGGGCAATATGCATCCAGCTGGTATTTGCCTGATCATAGTTAGCTCGAAAATCCTTCGCTATCAAGGGTTTCTCCAATTGAGAAGTTCCCAGAGGATCCGTATGCATGACATTATGATCGATTTTACGGATATATTTATTTCAAGTGACATTGGTTAGTTCACGGTGACCCCGTTAGTTTGATGAGCGCAAGTTTAGCTGAACAAGAACTGTGGTCCGTGCTAAGATCTGGGTAAAAACTCGTTTGAGATTTATCTGGTCGTTTTGTAGCAAGTTTAAAATAACGATAACTTCATCTAACAAACGACCAAAATAAATAAAGGCATACGTTCTAAAGAACACATTTCCTTCCAGGTAATGTTTCCGTGACTTTGACGAATTCCAATGGCTGAGGTGGTCTAATATAATTAAATATATTCTTACTCCCGTTATATTTATTGAATGAACAAGTGTACCCACAAGTGTCAGGTAAGAGGTCGCGGTCTGAGGAAATACCGAAATGAGGATGATGGGCAGCGGTTTGATTTCGGGACTTCTAGATCAATGTTATAAAAACGCGAACCAATTGCTCTTAGACTGCAGTTTTGATTGATTATAGAGAAACTATATAATAATAAATGAATGTTGGTACTTCCTGTTTTGTTTTTTGGGCCTATAAATGTGCAGTCGACTTTCTCCAGGGAGGCCACGGTCATGCAAAGGCTGCCTAGGAAAATACATAACTGAGGAAGGCAAAATATGTACATGCACATGCTAAAAGCTTTAGATAAATCAACCCACTTATCTATCATGGAAAACCAAATAGAAAAGCAATGACCGAAATCTGTCACTAATGCAACTGCGTTATTGGATATAAGCTGGGCTGTGAACTCTTTTGGATAGCTGTGTGTTATTCATCAAGAGAGAAGGAATTTCTGATCGTCTCCTGACTCCGTCATCCTCCTTTCATTTCGAACCAACATGCGTTGCCGGGCCCCTTACAAGATGCGTCAAGAAAACGAACAAAAACAAAAACAACATTTACAACAACAACAACAGCAGCAGCAGCAGCAGCAACAACAACAATAGTAACAACAAAAAGAAAACAACAACAACAACAGCAGAAGCAAAAACAAAAACTGATGTGATAAGCAGCGATCCGGCGTGCTTTACATATGATTTGGTCAAACAAAATAACTGAAGCTGCAACTTCATTCATTAACTGCTGTTACCTTTTCTAGATTACTCGCGAAACTCGGCGTCAAACTGTATTATGCAACTCTCATGCTGGCATCAATCAATGTAACCTATGACTCGATCAATAAATTTGACGATTGATCTCACCGATAGCATAGTGAAAAGCAATCGCGAAAATGGTGTTCCAGTAAGA